ACTTTCCATAGCAACTGGAGTGTACTTCCGTTACTATGGAAAGTACGACAACGGTATTCAGCATGCTATCATTCCAACCTCAACTATAACTCTCTCTTATTCTCAGAGCATGTGGTGTATATATTGCACATGCATCTCATAAAAAAAATGGTTCTTTTAACATGCAAAAGAAAACAAAATGCATCATATGTAAAGATCATATAAATAAATATATATAAATTTATATTGCGATCAAATTTTTTTTTATTTTTCACATAAATTTTGGGACCAGAAACTTTTATTTTGTCACTCAAAAATACAGGTCATTTCCTTTAATAGAGATCTGGTTGGAAAACACTGTTTATACCCAATTGATCCGAAAGTATTTGAAAAGTCGGTATTTATCGAATTAATTTTTTTATGAATAAAAAGTTTGTTTAGGCAATGGAATTTATTAAAATACAGCCCAATACAAGATGTATTAAAATACAAAAAACAAGAAATAAAAGCTTTGCAACAATTTTATGAGTCCTATTTTCCTTAAATTATATATGTCATTTTATTTTTATTGCAAAGATTTTTTTTATTATTATGTTAATTTAAGTTTTATTTTTTCTGTATAAATATATATTGTTACATTATCCATCAACTGTTTATACATTTATACTTGGCATAAATCAAATTCAATGACAGGTCAAAATTATGTAAGTTATTAATAAATAATAACGAAAAATGTTAATATATCAACATCAACAAAAAACAAATGCACGATTCCTTATCACATCAAAATCTTATATGCGAAAAATCTTTACCAACCAAATCTACATATTTATCAATTTAATTTGACATTTTTTTGATAAAATGACACCTTACCACATAGTTGACACAGGTGCATACTTTCATTTTTAATTTTATTTATTTATTTATTCTTTATTTTATTTTTATATTTTCTAATATATCTCTGATAAGTATTGCAGCAATTATATTAATATAATTTATAGTTATTAATTTATTGTAATAGGTCATATGGCTAGAATTAATCATAACAGAATAAAGATTCTTCTTCTATTCTACTATAAATTAAAATAAACTTGGCATAAATCAAATTCAATAACAGGTCAAAACTATGTAAGTAATTAATAAATAATAACGAAAAATATTAATATATCGATATCAACAAAAAACAACTGCACCATTCCTTATCACATCAAAATCATATATGCGAAAAATCTTTACCAACAAAATCTACATATTTATCAATTTAATTTGGCATTGTTTTGATAAAATTACACCTTACCACATAGTTGACACAGGTGTATACTCTAATTTTTAATTTTATTTATTTATTTATTCTTTATTTTATTTTACTTGTTGTTTTATTTATTTATTGAGTATTACAACAATCTGTCACTTGGACATTAGTTATAGTAAGGTATGATAACATTCAAACTATATGTACAAAAAATATAAAAAGCAATAAATAATAATCAAAAAGTATGTGCAATAAATAAGATAAAATAACCTTACAATAAGAAAATTAAAACTAAGCAAAAAAACACATGCATATCAATATACACTTTTTTTCGGCGGTTCGGCGATACATAAACTAAAAATATTAATTAGTGATGAAATGTGAATTCTAGGAATTTAAAACCTATTGAAGGTTCGGTAATAAAAGTTATCAGAGTAATAAAATATAAACTAGATTCAATCTTTCCCATGAAGGAGATAAAATTTTATATTTTAAAACCTTAAAAAACTACTAAATAATTACTTATCAATAGAATTTCTAACTAATTATAGATGTTTTACGACGATATGTATAATTATCATTATTATTATATATATTTTAACCTATGCTTTATTTAAGATTGTATCCAATTCAAGAAATAACCTGGAGTTTAAGCTCTTATTTATTTTATACTTAATCAAAAATTTACAGAACGTTATTTTGTTTACGTAAATATTGGACAATATTGAGGAAAAAAAATATATCGAAATTAGAAAACTGAAAGCATTTACTTTAACAGGGAGTAAATCTATTAATATTAATTACAAAAATGAATTATTCTTGCACTTAAATTTGTAATAATATTCTCTTAATAGCTAGATAAATAAACAAGTAAAAATAAATTCGATTCAATATAGCTTTGTAATAATATAGAATCAATTAAATTATTATACATTAATCTTTATTTTTTGTTTTTTATTCAGGAAGCAAGTATGTGACAAGTTCGCTCAAATGTTCGTGCTATTTGAAAAATCATAAGAATTTTTACATTACTCGATTCTGAAAGGATTGAACTAAAAATAAAATAATAAAAAATGAAATTAATAATAAAAAATTTAATAATTTTTAAATAATAACAGGACCGTTAGAAAGGTTTTTACTAATACAGTTATCAATTCCACTTCCATTGCTGATAACTTGATTCGTCATTTTTTAAAAAAAGAAATCTCATCCAAGATTAAAATTGAGCTATAATCAGTCGATAGATAAACTAAATCACTTTTTATCAGTTTTTCGCTATCTTTATTTTTATGGTTAAATAGATAGGGTTAAAAGTGAAAAGAGATGATAAAAAAAAACAAAAAAAAATTTAAAACAGTCTATTTTCAAAAATGGATGCTTAAAATAGTTATCATAATTTTACTGATTGTCATATCAATAAAATACTGTAAAGATAATATATCTGTTAACACTGACATTTATTTAAATTAAATTAAACAAATAAATTATTAACATTATTAATTTATGACTTTGTGAGTTAAAAAAGGAAGAACTTTAAATATATTTTTTTAGAACTAAAATCAATCCAATAATTATATTAAAGCCCTAAGCACGGCAGATAAAATTATAAAACAATCAAAAAAACATTTTGTCCGCTATTAGAATATTTTAGAAAAGTTTTGTATTTTCAAGTTTTAAAAACTGTTCGTGTCTCCAAGTTCAGACAGATCTGTAGATGAAAAACAGTCAGTAAAAACTAAAATATAGTTATTATGTTGGTCAATGAAATGATAATAATAATAACTCAGGCTAAATAATGAACCCATAAAATATGAACAAGTTATTTCCATTAGAACTAAATAATGGTGTAGCATTATAATCTAGGAATGTAGAAAATTCGGTCTATAAACATTTGGCAAACCGCCAATTCCTTGCTAACAGTTTACGACGATAGAATAGGACAATCCATTATTGAACTTGAAGACCGGATATATTTTACTAATATTCACTATATTTTATAGTAAAATTTAAAAAAAATATATTAAAATTTACAAAATAAAGGATTGAGGATTAATAAATAATAAAAATTGGAGAAAAAAATGAACTTAACACATTTTTAATTTTTTATTAAAACTAAGTATTATAAAAAAAAAATAATGCATTATAGTAATTTTTTAATACTTTCCTCGAAAATTCATAAATAGTACAGAACAATAATTAACAAAAATTTTTGTGAAAATATAAAATAATTTACCCAGAAAAATAATATTCCAAATTAAAAAAAAAAAAAATAGTTAAGAGTTATTTCAATTACATTTTATTTCAGAAAATAAGTTAAAGGATTATTTAAAAAAGAAAAAAAATGTTTTTAATTAATGCGTTAAGAATTAAATCACATACATTAATACGTTTTTGACAACATCAATCGAAAGTTATCGTGTAGATAAACACTGAGTAACAATTAAGGCATTCATTTTCCTTAAAATAAAATTAGCAATGAAATCAGACACTAAAAATGAAAGGTACTTATTTTTATTTAAATGTACGCGTATATAATAATAATACTATAGGATATATTTTAATTGCAAATTATTCAATAAGTATTTAGAAATAAAAAACAATAATATTTACTTAATAAATAAATGGAAAAAACATACTTTAATTTAATAGAAAACCACATGATAAATTGTAAACATTTTAATCGAAAATTAATTAACAAGTACTATGAAATACATATATATAAATACATATATATAAATTCGCTCGAAGATTACATTGGTAAATAGTAACTAAGTCTTTGCCTGAAGTTAAAAAACAAATTATGGAAGGTTATATGGATCAGGTTAAATAATGTTTTGATGAAACTAACACGTCTTGGGTGAAACTATATAGCATTCAAACAAGACGAAATATTAAAATTTAACAACTAATATAAGGTATTATTACGAATATAAATGAAGAGAAATATATACAAATGATATAACTTAATATAGGTACACGAATATATATATTTTAACGATTTTTGTGTAGAAAACTAAATATAGTACTATATGCTAATCGAAATTTTTTTTATAACATGAATGAGAAATAATTAAGGAATGCTTCAACGTCAAAATCAAAATAAACAATAGGGAATTAGGTACTGAGAATGAATACATCTTATTTTTATTTGAATAAGTACTGGCGAATAATTCAACAAAAATAAAAGTTATTTAATAAAAAAAAAGACAAAAAAAACATAGTTGAAAAAAAAAGTAACTGCCTAGCATTAATACAATTCTGACAGGTTATATTGATTGGTACAGGTTAAGGAATATTTTGAAAATAAAAATCGATGGAGACGAAATATTAGAATTCAATAAATAATATCAGATAAGATTATTATTAAAGATTCGCGAGAATATTCAACCGGTATTTGAAGCTGGCTTTACCTAATAAATGGTAGCCAGATATATTTATATTTGTATTATTTTCTTTAACAATCCGGATTTCTATTCTGAAACGAAATGGAGGTAGTAAATATTTTTGGGAAATATCTCTATTATCGAACTCTTTTGAACAAGCTAGGCTTTCCGAAAAATACATCTGAGGTCACCAGACGATTGGAAAATTGTAAACGCAAAAATTAATTTTAACCTGCAAATAAATATCGAAGATTCAAATATAAAGATATCTTCATTCTATACTTTTATTTTATTTTTTAATTTGGTTATGTACACTGTAAATTATGAAAACACCGGGCATTGACGACCATGACGTTTTACTACATCAAACAAATATTATTGTTTACCTTCGTCCTCTACCTTCCCGTTCCACCGAACTGCTCCAAAGACTGCTCGCTGTTCCTGATGAGATATCCTCCCTTACGATGAGATACCCTCACGATCACAAGATCACACCCCGAGAACCGACTGAGAGAGACACGGCAGCACGACGCAGCAAGAGCAGACTGAAGAGGGAATACCCTCCCACCGCTGAGCACGTGCTCCCACCCCGATCATTAGAGCAAGCAGCTCCTGGCGTTCCTCAAGGCGTCGTCTTCATCTCCTCCTCTTCTCAATCGATACTCCTTTCTCTCTCTCCGGTAGCCGCTGGGGTCCGTTCCGGGTCGATAATTATCGATTCGTCCGTCAAAAGGGTTATCCAGGTCTACATTTTTGTATTAACAACATGGTGTATACCAACTTTGATGACTGAAGTTCTCGACTTCTTGAAAAAATATCAACATTTTTTATACCAACATAAAAAAAAAATAAATAAAAAAATATGTAGTCCGTGGAACAGACCCATTTTATCAAATTATTAACATCCGCCTGAAACTTCGGAAATAGCTTCATCTCATCGTAACTTACGACTATTTTGGTTACAAAAATTCATGGAATTGAGGAGTTTTCAATCTGGAGATCGGCAAACTATCTATTTAATTAGGTACTAAAAACTCGTAAATACCCATTTGCTTTCCACTTGGATCATAAGATAATATTTTTGTTCAAATCCGAGACCAAGACGAGTCCTAGTCTTGCGCACCCAATCTTGGACTTGGTCTTGCGCGACAGTCCTGCAGTTACCTATTAGCTTATTAATATAGAGATAAAAGTGTATTTTTTTAGATAGAATAAACCTAACTAAGCCCCAATGAAAAATTAGAAGAGTTAAATACAAAAGTATATTGATTCTTTACATACATTAACTAAAATTGTGAAGTACTAGTAAACATTTTGCCTTAATATATATTTAAAAAAACGTATTTCTTTACCAGCCTTTGTCTTGGTCTTAGGCGCAATTAGACAAACAATTAGGCGCTCTTGGTCTTAGCCTTGCAAAGTGCAAGACCAAGACCGATTTTGAACAACACTAATGATCACCAAAGTCGAAAAAACCTATATAATTTCTTGTAAATTTCTTGTAATCAATAAAGATCTTAGAAATACGTTTCTTATGGAAGTTAGTATGTGTTGAGGAAACCAGGAGAGGAATTTGCGAAAATTAATTTATGCCCAACCGTGGAACTTGGTGTCGCAGTGTTATTGTGTGGGGGTAATATGGCGGGTTCTGGTGTAGGAAATCTTCACTTTATAGATATTATAGTTAATGTTTACCTAGAAATTTTCAGAAGAAATTTGTAGTGCGGAAAAGATAGGGCGTAAGACGTTCTTCCAAGTTAGTTAAGGAATAGTTACTTTATAACTATCCCACAGTTATAAAAACTCCATCACAGTCACCAGGTCTTAATGTAATAGAATACCTCTGTGCAAAATTAGAAGGAGAAATTAGAAGATACAAAATTCCTAGCAAAGAATACTTCAAAAATATCTCCTAGATAATGGAACATGCTAACCCAGGAATTCATCAAAACATTGGTCCACTCCATTGGAAACAGACAGAAAGAAGTGGTAGACAATAATGTCTTGCTTACTTGGCATAGTACTAAATTAATAATATTTAAAAGTTATTTAGAAGTGAGGTGCATCATTTTGACTATGAGTTAAAATTATCTAGTTATTTTGTTAATTTATTAGTATAATCACAGTTGAATATTTTAATTTTATTGAGTTTGTACATGTTTCATCTCATCGTAATCTACAACTATTTTTTTATGAAAATTCTCTGGATCGGGGCGTTTTTAATCTGAAGATCGGCTAACTTCGTCTATTTAATTAGGTACTAACAACTCGTAAATACTCATTTACTTTCTACTTGAATCGTGAGATAATTTGAGCACAAATTCGAGAAAAAAGGTAGTCTTCAAAATTATTGGGAAATTAGACGTGATCTACATCCCCAATATTTCAAAATAACGAGATTATATAGGCCAAATTGCCCAATATATTTCTAGAATTTATTGAAGGGAGTTAATCGACTGTTCTACATATCATGGATGATAAATATTCAGGACGCAGTCTTTTTTTTTTAATTTAAATTTTTTATTTATGGCAACGTTTCAACCCAAACATGTGGGTCACCTTCAGGGCTGATTTTTTAAAAAAATACAATCAGAGATATAATATTATACGACCGATAATGGTAAATAATAAACTATAGTGATTGATGATAGATGAATCTTAACTAATATTGTAATACACATATTAAAAATGAAATATGTAAATAGTTATACAAACTAAAAAATCTAAAAAAATAATGTATATAATCCATTTATACAAATTTGTAATATCTCCTGTAACTAACCGTGGTTTGAGCACTGAGGGTGTTCAAGTACTGACACATTTGGTAGGTAAGTGAAAAGGTCAGAGGGGGGGGGGGCGATTTCCCAATTTTCCTTTTTCAGATAGCAAAAGGTAGGTAAACATAGTCAGAGGGGAAGGGAGGTAACATTTCTGTTTGTAGAATGTAAATAATTTGCTGACTAAATATGTCAGATGTATACAATATTTGCGTTGTTTCTTATGGTTGCATAAATGTGACTATTGGCTAGTAATGAAATGAACATAAGCAAGAGGTGCCAATCAATATAATGAAAACGTTGGCATAAATAAAAAATTAATTTTTTTTTTAAGTACTGCGTCCTGAATATTTATCATCCATATTTTTTTAGGCAACCTTTTTTTTAATTTTTTTTTTCTATTTTGTGATAATATTATCTCATGATTCAAGTCGAAAGAAAATGGGTACTCAAGAGTTTTTAGTACCTAATTAATTAGACCGAGTTTGCCGATCTCCAAATTGAAAACGCCCCAATTCCGAGAATTTTCGTAAATTAAATATTTGCAAGTTACGATTGAGATGAAGCAATCAAAGAAGTTTAGGCGGAAGTTAATAATTTCATAAAACGTGGTCTGTACACCTTCAACTACTAGTGTGTCCACTCATACGACTATCCTACCGATTTGATACAAATTTACAAACACTAGAATCGTAAGATAATTTGATCACGGAATTGAGATAAAAAACAATAGAAATATTTGGCCGTATGGCAAATTAATCTCTTTACTTTGACATGATATGAGTGGAGGTCACGCCAAATGGCCCAATATTTTTGCAGGCCACCTTTTTTTCTCTTTTACGATCAATTTATCTTACAATTCAAAAGCAAATGGGTTTTCATGAGTTTTTAGTACCTCGTTGAATATGCAAAGTTTATCGAACTCCAGATTGAAAATGCATAATTTGCAAGTATTTTCGGAAATAAAAAAGGTGTTGATAACTATAAGATGAAGTTTTAGACAGATATTAATAATATGATGTAAAGGTGAAGTAATATATTTATCGAAACATAACAGAATTTACACTTTTAAAAAATACAAGTTGGAGGATGAAAGATTTTAAGCCTGAACCCAGACTCTTATATTCAAAGCTTCCAAGATTTGATTAATGCAAATGCCGATAGCGCCATTACTAACCCCTTTATCGCTAACGATCTCGAGTTTAGTTTACAACACGTTATTTCTTCTTAGGCAGCATTACTATACTTTAAATATTATGTATGATATACATTTATGTTATACATAGAAAGTAAAAACAATTACGTATGCATAAAACTTACAGTTTCACCCTCACTATCTTTCACTTCTGCAGAATTTTCCAGTTCCGCGTGTTGTATGCAACTAAATGTCAAGCCCTCTTCTTATAGAACACTGTATTTGGACTAAATCAAAATGGAATTTCCTTTACGAAGTGTCATTCACCTTTCGGTCCGGCTGTAAAATCAAAATACTCAATGCTGGAATACACCAAAGGAAATATACGTATTTTTTTTATTCGACTTTCTGTGTCCTGACATACCTTCAAAAGCACAACCTCAAGTTCTAAGGGAGTGACACAAATTTTATTTTATTGAAAATAATAAAAATGAATGAAACTGAAAAACATATTTAAACAATTACATATTCTCATATTCCATAATGTGGTCTAACTCTCAACTATTTAAAAAAAAAAAAAATAAAAAATAAAAATATTACATCGAACTACTTTTTGCATACGAGTTTTGAAGTATTTACTCAAGTTTGTTTTTATATTTTTTTGTTTGCTTCCTCACTGCGGAAGGTAGGAAAGCATTGTGGTTCGTGCGAGAAGTTAAAAAAAAATGTATGGTCAGAATCGTAAATCCCCACTCGCATTTAACGTTTCAGATAGTGTTGCTCAAAATCGGTCTTGGTCTAGCACTTTGCAAGACCAAGACCAAGACCGAGACTGGTAAAAAAAATTTGATTTTTTGAATACAAATTAAGGCGAAATAGTTACTAATACTTGACAATCTTAGTTACTATATGTAAATAATTGGTATAAACAATATACTTTTGTATTTAATTCCTCTAATTTGTCATTAGGGTTTATTTAGGTTTCTCCTATCTAAAAAATTACAGTAATATCTCTATAGTAATAAGCTAATAAGTAACTGCAAGACCGTTGCGAGACTCTTGTGCAAGACCAAGATCAAGTGCAAATCAGACATCAAGGACCAAATTTGACTCGGTGTCTGTCTATCTGTCTGTCTGTAGTCAAACCGATGTAACGGGTATATCATCTACTACCGTTATTCGATTTTCATGAAATTTTCAGAGATTGTGCGGAACGGTGACTAGATAGTTACATATCAATTTCAGCAAATTCCATCTAGCGCTTCCGCCTACGCACGCGGAAACGAATATTTTTTGGTATGCCAATATTTCAGAAATGGCTTAATCAAAAAATCTTATAAAATCCTCACCTTTCTTGAATTTGACAATTAGTGAATATGCTGTTGTAAAATTGGAAATTACATTATAAGCATGAGGACTTAAATTATTTAACGAATTAAGTTACATAAATACATCTTTTTCCTAATCCCTGCCTTGTGGATGGAATTATATTTATTTTTTTAAATTAAATTTTCTTCTACATAAAAAAATACTACATAAAGATTATATCACTTAAAAGTATTGTCGAAGTGCAAAGGCCCCGAGATCTTAAAAGAAGGATGTGGGATTCATAACCCTGCCCAA